GTGTTATTAAATATTTTTATGCGGAATTGAGATTTTAAGATTATGCAAAATTTATAACAAAATTTTAAACATTATGTTTTTTTATCATCTAAATCAATTATCAAATTGTTTTTTCCCCTAAACATAACAACAATCAACTATAAATGTGTTTTTTTATCAATAAAAGTTTATCATAATTATGTACTTTAATTAATTTAATAAAAATTTAGGTTATTTACCTGACCGAGTTTGGCGTTAGGAATCTTGGCACTAACGGCATCTTCAAGCTCCTTACCAAGAGGAGCAGCACCACATTTCATCACTCTAATCGAGCTCAAATCATACTTCTCCGTCTCCGGCGACTTCGCAATCGCCAAAGCAATCGGAGGAACAATCGGAGCCACCGTGATTTTACATCTTTGAATCAACTCCAAAAGCAAATGTATCTCGAATTTCGGCATTATCAAAATCGCAGCACCAACTCTAAGTCCACATAACATGATCGAGTTCAAAGCATAGATATGAAACATCGGCAAAACACAGAGGATCACATCATCACTGTGGAAATACAGATTCGGATTTTCGCCGTCGACTTGTTGAGCAACGCTTGTGACTAGTCCCTTGTGAGTTAGCATCACTCCTTTAGGTAGGCCTGATAAATAAAATAAAATAAATGGAACTTTTAACATGAGATAAATCTTTAAATGTTTTATAGATTCTTAATTGGATTTACACAATCATCTTTCACATATTTGTAGCGTCTTACAAACAAACGCGATTCCAATACACATGACACATTTTTGTTTAAACAAGTAACTCGATTTGCATCAAACAACCAAAATTTATTAAATTAGGATTGGACTATATTACCAAACTATCTTGAATCCGAACAGAGTTGTAAAAAAAAAGTCCGAATGAAAAAAAAATAATTATATACCAAATTATCCAAACTAAATTCGAAATGTGTGAAACGAACCAAATTAACCAAAATTTATTAAAATTTAAATATTTGAGTTAAAATACATTTAAATATACGAAAAATCTACAATTTATATGTGTCATTTTTCAAAAGTGAATTGAATCCAAACTCAAATTGAATTGAGCCGAAAAATTTAAAATCGAACCGAAATATAATTTGATAAAAATAAATTGTTGTTCGAAAAATAATAATTTGATAATTTTTTTTTTTGTTTGATCGAAAAATAATAATTTGATAAATAAGATATTTTTTTATGGAACAAAAAATCTAAAATAACCGAATCCAGTAACCAAATGCCCACCCATAACCGAAACAAAGCAAAACAGAACAACTTCACTTACCGGTCGTGCCGGAGGAGTAAGGAAGAGCCACCACATCGTCCGGCGAAATCTCCACCGTGTCAATTTCTGTTGACTGAGTCAACTCAGTGAATCGGAGACAACCTTCCGGTATCGGAACGGATTCTCCGTCATCGGTGCAAACGATCGGAACGCCAAGATCTTTGATTTTCTCGACGTACCGAGCTTCGGTAATGATGAGCTTCGAATTCGAGGCTTTCGCTTGTTTCGCGATCTCCGCCGGAGTGTAAAAAGGATTCGCGGAGGTCGCGGTTACGCCGAGGAAAGACGCGGCGAGGAAAGAGAGTACGAATTCAGGGCAATTCGGAAGGAGGATCATAACGACGTCGTTTCGGTTAACACCGAGTTTTCGAAAACCGGAGGCGATTCGACGGGAAGTGACGTGTACGTCGGAGTAAGTGTACACGTGTCCGGTTGGACCGTTGATTAAACATGGTTTGGAACCGTACTCGGAGATGTTTTCGAAGATGTAGTCGTGGAGAGAGAGGTGGTTCGGTATGTATATGTCCGGTAGCTTTGATCGGAAAATGACGTCACTTTTTTCGTTGCTCTGTTTCTGAATCACTTCTTGTGGTGGCGCCATTGTTAAAGGATTTTGGAATTTTAAAAACTTAAACTTTTAGC